AGGAACAAAGGCCACTCTACCAATCAATTCAGAAATTGTGGGTCTATAAGTCTATATAGAGTAAAGACAACATGTGGGGGCACTCTACACATTCTGGGTGCACGTATGCTGGTTAGCGAACCGGAAAAGAAGGAACTATATGAACTCAAAGTTAACGTGAAGGGAATGATCTGATGCTTTCGGGCACAGACGGCTGCCACCGACCTGCAGAAGACTATGGAAGTCTCCACAGGAGCAAAAGGAACCAAATGGGGGGACAATCGTTCCTACGTCCTCTGATTCTGAAGTTCAATAAATTGATCCACCATGAACTCACCCAACTCTCATGATCCAGTGCTTTTACTCCATCTGTGCCCCTCAAAAAGCCCTCCAGGACAGTCGAGTCGTGCCGCTCCTCTCGGTGCTTCTTCTCGCCTGCCAAGTCTGTCAGAAAATCCCAGACTTTGGGGCGTCGACATCTCATGAATTTTGGCTCTTGGACTTGATGGAAAACTTTTGGAACCTTCTCGGCTGTCTTCATCAGGAGACATCACGGGATAGCACGATGGCTTCACGGATCTTCACGGTGACCCGGCCACCCTTGATGGGGGATTTGGCATCGCTATTAGTAACAAGTGCGTCGCTATCGCTATGGCGTAGCTAGAAGCTAATAGTCGCTATTTGGCTATTTGCTACTAGTCGTGCACTTGTTACTAGTAGCGATGCACTTGTTACTAGTAGCTTCTAGCTACTAGTATAGTTTGCTCTTAGGTTGGATGTTCCGACTCCAGCTGGTTGGGGATCCACCCAAGGCTTGGGTTGGTATTTCGCTGGACTGAGGGGTAAGAACATGTAGGAATCGTGTCAGGGATTTCTTGAAGCTCCGCATCCCAGCACAAAAGAATGCTAAGAATGTTAGACCCTGACGGACGGACGTGCTAAGAATGTTAGCACGGACGGACGATGGACTTGATCAGTCATAGACGGACGACAAGTATCGGCCTGGAGGACATCCATGTTCTCGTATTTAAATTCCACGTCCCTTTCAGGTCCTTTAACGTCCTTTGGTTCCCGCCCAAAGCAATTTCGTCCGCAAGCTGAGTCAACATGAGTCCACCATTGTTGTATACAGTGAGTTGTACAGGGAGCGTTTTGTCCTGGAAATCTTGGGCACGTTCATCTGGTATCATAATGTAAGAATATTATGTACTCTCCCTGAAACAACCATGGAAGTGGACCAAGCCCTGTTTGTAGAGGAAAATGATCTTTCCAGGGGCCATGTTCCACTTCCATGATTGTTTGAGGGAGGGTATGATCTTGATTCATAACTTAACCCCCACTAATGGGATTCCAAGACCTCTTCAATATGGGGGGACGTTGATGAATCAACATCCTAAAAACGAGCATATCGAGCAAGACCTGTCCCGAAAACCAATAGACAACCATGTCTATTCTGTTCAAACAAGTGCTGAGACCAGTCCAGTTCTCGTAGAATCTCGTAGATCTGCACATGCGTAGGCCCTGAGACGTACGGTCAGCTCAGGCCATCGTCGCCTGGCCCAACCCCAACCCCAAACCATTGCCAATGGAACCCTGAAAAACATACTGTATACATTCAGATAACGATACATTCCAACTTGCTTTGCCAGGGACTTGCAGTTCCATGCAATTCCCATGTTGCTGGTCAAGGGGGGCATCTGGAAAACGTTCCTCCAAATTTGGCCCGCCGGAGGTAGTCCCCTGACTCTGATTTGCTCGCCATTTTTGGCCGCAGCGAAAGTCCAACGTGCGAGTGGCGATGATTCTTTGAGTGATGACCGATCTCTCCGACTCACTCCACCTCGGGGAGCCGTCAGCAGAATGGCGGACTCCGGAGCCGGATATGTTTTGAAAATCGAATGTTGACCTCGGCTGTTTCATGTTTAGTGGGGTGTCCCCAATCCTCTCAAAAGGGGTCCTTGATATCGTGAGCGTCCCATGGCACAGATCCATAAGACATCGACTTTAAAGAAGCAACATCTCTTCCCTGCCAGTCATGGAGCTACAGGGAATGGTAGAAGAATCACCTCATCTGCGGTTTTGTTGCACACCCAGCTTGAGAGGATCAAAAGGGAGGCTCTGAGCTGCAATCAGCTGGCTTGAAAAGGGACCCAGGTGATCGGATCAAGTTACTTCTGTTTATAATGGTCCCCAAATAAATAGAAACGGTTTCCAATACATTTTGAAAGGGATTCTATTGCTTTGTTCTATCCATTATAGGGTCTGCATATATACAGTTTCATTTCTTTCGATCTTTCCGGTCAGGGGCACTGGGAGAGTTCCTGCACTTTGCGACAATCCCGCACCTTCGCAAACATATGTATGCAAAAATGAACTACCACTATAAAATTAAGGCCACTGCAGACCACCAAGTGGGAAAACCATCTTCCTAATCCTACCACATGATATACACAAGCAAACTGCTGGAAAAGAACGGCGAGGACGAGGATCAACGTCAAATATAGTCCACCCTCCCCTTTCGCAATAGGCCGAAATAGGCAGAAAACAAAAATAACGAAGAAATATTGCAAATTAGAATGGAGAGACCGAGAGACCCCTCAAAGACCTTTGGGTAAGTCAAAAACATACTATATAAATCAATTGGTTGAGAGGTCCCCTATTAAAATACAAACCCATATGAACAGAAGGGGATTCTTTTGTTCGGAACCCACACACTTAGATGTATAGCTCAACAAGCATTCAGTCAGCTAGTGATTCACCGATGCATTAGCACTCTAAATCACTTCAATAGACCTTGGCTGAAGGAACGGCAAGGTGAAGAGTCGGCCAAAACTGTATTGTTTGAACATTCACATTAATAGCCCTTTATGGAAGAGTGGGGTACAGGCCAGACAGACTGATCATGTCTGGTTTCACCACCGATTGCCAAGTGTCTTCGTTAGCAGGAGACTTGCAATGGTGCTCATGCCCCCTGCTGGCAACCCTCAGAAGCAGGGTGTGACACACACACACAACTTGCGAACCATCTAACCGCACCACGGCACCGAATTAAGAATAGCATCCCCATGCAGAAGGGAATGGACCGGGGACAATCAATATCACCCGATCAACCAAACTAGGCGACCACTCAGCCGCTGACTGCTCAGTGACGTCCCACTTCTGCCGCTCTCCACGGATGCTGCAGCCGCACCACCACCACCCTGCCCGGCTTGGGACGCGAGATGCACCTGCGAGGTGTTGGGCAAGATCCGGGCCTACAAAAGACCAAGTTCCAAATTCTTGGTCCGAAAATTCTACAAAAAGTCAAACTCGGAGCTGCTCTGCACGACCCACCTGGCCCGTACGGGCTGCGGCGCTGTGCCCGCACCCACAACCGCGCCGGAGCGGTGAGCGCCATGGAGGTGTTGGGCAGTTGAGAGGATTAAGACCTCAGGCGGAGGTCGTGGTCCCACTCGGTTCTGAACAATCCGAATTTATTTGTTTGAGGAATGGATGAAAATCATTCAAGAGCCTTGGATTAACAGGGACAGCTGGAACATAGCCCCAGAAAAAGATCTGAGCAGGAACTGCAAAGACTTGCCACGCAAATTAATTCGCCGAGGTGTGCAGACATGTATATGTCATGTTTTTTGTCACCAGAAGATGTCTCATTGACACAGAACTCCTTCACTCAGGGTGAAACCAACCCATTCGCCTGTCACCCAGGGCTGAGACTTCCGTTCATCAGTCCGAAGTAGTGGATGGTGGCAGCGGAGGATGTATAAAAGCAAAGAGGATGCCTCCACCAGCTTTTGTTACCGAAGGCGCAACTCGGCATAAGACTCAAACATGTCTCAACAGTCGGCAGTTGCGGACTTCGACTTCGATGGGACAGGACTTCGTGCTATCTGCATATAAAGTCGAGTCTATAAATCGAGTACAAGTTATGGTGACATTCAAAGGCCCGAATTCAAAGGCCCGAACCTGGCGAACCATTTCAAAGGCCCGGACCTGGTCGACACACCGTCCGAACCCAACGGACGAAGACCACACGATTTCGCTCGAGAATGCCCAAACGTCGACAAACCGCTCTCTCGTGACGTAGACTGTCGGGCGTTCTGCGAAAAAGAACGGGATGGATGAGAGACGGGTCAATCACTGACCCCGCTCAGTTTCCTGGAAAATCACGGCCTGAACCTCCACCTGTTAGATTTTAGATGATTTTAGATGCTTTTACTGGGTTCTCCTCAATCCCAAGTTCAGCTGGGCAGGTGATCCACTGCGGACGGTGATCCACCGGACAATGGCACGGCCAAGCTCATCCAAGCTCACGTTCGGGAAACGTGTCGGGCGCCATTTCCTCGGTGACTGAGGCACCGCCTCCGTTGAATCACTGATGTAGCTCCACGAGCTGGGCGATGTGCCGGAGAAAGGCCAAGGCAGACATCTTCAGTGAAATGATCTCGCCTTGGGACGTTGAGGGAAACGCGAAACAAAACGTGTTGGGACGTTGAGGGAAGGAATGGAGGAAATGGACCATATGGATGACTCTGAATGGCACCTGATCATCCTACCTTGTATACCTTCTGCCCAACAAATGACCTGCAGTTTGTAGAGCTTACAAGACGGAAGGAAGAACTCTTGCACTAGCAGAAAGAGAAGACCTCAGGGCCGAACCTGGATTGGGATTCTATGACAGCTGAGGAGTTCTCTCGAGGAATTTAGGATAACTTTCGGAAAGAACACCTTCCACAGCATCTTCAATCAAGCAGCTCCCATGCGCAGCTGGCGTCCGTGAGAGGATCTCTTCATCCAAGTTCACCCGGATCAGAGTCGTTCGCCCTCCCTTGTCATTCACGTCCCGCAAAACCTCTTCACACTCCTCAAGAACCGGAAAATGTTCAAACCGAACGGACATGAAGCTACGACCAATCATGACCTGGACAGGAGCTTGCCCCACTTCTTTTCGGTGTTCTTCTCCCGGTCCTCCTCTATATTAATCAAAGACCATCCTTGATCCACCAATCTATTCTCCAGACATCTCACGGTCCCACCCATCAATGTCCACCCCAACGTCTCACGGTCCCACACAGAAGCGTTGACCGCCCAGACGTCGCTGATCTCCTCGCTCCCCTTCGTCTCCTGTCGCACCACCTCCACGCGGCGTCCCACACCGATCTCCAGGATCACCAAATGGCTCCCGCTGATCTCCTGGAGCAAGAGCCAAGGTACCGGTGAGCCCAGCGGAGACGCCCAGTCTCACTCCGAGGTCAAAAGGAAAAGTTCAAAGAACAAGGCTTTTAGGGGGAAAGCTTCTTTCATGCTGATGATCATCCCCTCTTTGCGTGGCTTTCAGCTATCTCCATGTTTCCAGCCCTATGTCAGTTTTATCTTTATCACAGGCTCCTCCTCCATGGCATCCTCCCAGCATTGGTACTGCGCCCAAGCCTTCTGAAGCTGCTGGAGCAAGGCTTCATCCTCGTCACCGAACATCAAAACACAGGGTCCTGGGAGTAGGGAAAATAAGGCACGAGATCGATGAAACAGAACATCTGGAGCCAGCTGGAGGCGTTTTGGGAACATGATGACGATTTGTCTTCCGCCAAAGAAGATCATTCAGGACATGTCGGCAAATTTGTCATGGGGTGCCAAAGCCATGTTGATCCGGAAGTCTTCATCGACGATTGATGAAGATTGCTGATAGGTTCGGAATTTAAGCATCCTGTTTCTTTTTTTACATACACGATTAAACATGATTAAACATCTGCTTCATGTATCTGATGAATCCCACATCATCTTGCAGTCTTCATCCTAGAGATGTGGAACCAGTTGCAGGAGAAACCATGCATAGCTTGGAGCTTACACTATGGATGTGGTGTAGAAGCTTCAAACACACGTACAAACCCAAGTGGATGTGATTCAATAAAGAAAACGGGAAAAACCCTCACCAACAAGGAGACCCTTGCAATTGAGAATTCATAATGGCTATAGCATCTTGTAGCGGCCGTGTTATCTGAGATCTTTTGAGTCTCTCTGTCTTAACAGAGCCACCAAACTCAACTACACTTCATCTTCACGGCAGTCACCACACGTTCGGGGTCAATCAACTGGAGCCTGGTGCGACGAGTGCTCATGTGGAACCAAAAGGCAAAAAGCTCCACACCATGATGGGTCTCCCCAGACTCTGCAGGTCAAATCCGAAAAAAAGAAAGGAACAAACGTTAAACAACAAAACAAAAACGTCACCCAGATCATCTGATCCGAAAACCACGGATCGCAGTGGCAGTCCACAATGACACTTCAAAGGCACCTCTTCCAAGCCACCTGGGGCTGTGCTTCGGTCGTCTGGGGTCGGTGTCAACCTCAACCAGAGGGTATGGCCTATAGTGGTTCCCTTACATAGATAGTGGCACGGTGTCCAAGACATTTGGATGTGGAGATTTACTGTTCTATCTATTTGGAGGTCTATAAGCTTCTATAATATAGGAAACGAAAAGAACTCAGGGACTCAGCCAGCTCCCTCCAGCCTTCCATCCGGACTGTCATAGGCTCTCTGCACGCTGTGCCTCCTCTTAAGAGTTCCTCCTGTGCCGCCCGCACCCGCGCCCAGCGGGGCGCATGGTCCGCCTCAGGCGTCAGACGAGCGGAGCAAATCCAATCCTCACAGCAGCCGTGGAGCTCACACAGGGGGAAGCCTGACAGCGATGCGCGACTTGTGGACTTGACTTGCATGATCTTTCCTGGCTCTATCCCTACATCCAGATCTGGAGTACCAAGATCTCTCGTCACTCTGCTACCTACGCACCCGATTATGTTTACATACAGTAAGTGGATTTGACGGTCCGTTGACCTTTGTGTGAAGCATGAAGCATGATTTCAAACGGTGGCAAACCCTCGAAATCATTTTCCAAGTGGACCTCTGAAAATGTTGGGTCCTTGACCTCCAAAGAGCTAGTGATCAAAATTCATGCACGATCTCCATGAACATATGTTGATGGGGCGACGTTATCATTCCATATGATCTCTGCTTCAGAATGATTTTTCCCGTCTATATGGTATATATACTAATATACAAAGCAAGGCTACCACCAAGAGCAATTCAAACGTCGGTATCGAACAATGGCCGCAGCTTGGTGATCTAGTCAACTAGTCCACTTATATCAACTTGTAACTTATTGCTTCCAAACGTACCAGTGAGTCAGTGAGTGTTACTTAACACGCCAAGCTCCCTGGTCGATCAATCGACACGGGGAAAGGGCCCTCACTCACACGGGGAAAACGGTCGAAGCTTCTGTGACCGTTACCGGTTTATGAAAGGTGCCGATGGCCGATGCTTCTTGAATGAGTTTGGAACACATCAAAAGAGCTTCACAGAAACCATAGGGTTCACCAAAACCATACAGTTGCAAATCATGCTTTAATTCGCCTTATGGCCTTCTGTTTCTATAGGCAAACCATGGCAAACCTATCCCAAACTTCCTGGCCTGACGGCCGCCTAAGGCAAAAGCTTTTGACCCGGCCCGTTGGAGGCAGCACCCCAAAACATCCCAGGACGAAACCCAGGAGTGCTTGTCTATGCGAGTGCTCGTCATGCTAGCCTGTTAACTTTGGTCCTTGGTGGGAGAGGTATACCTGGCAAATCCTAGCAAATCCTCAGACCCCCTTTGGTCCTTGGTGCTACCAGCCATAGCAGGCCTCGCAGCTGTCTCAAATGACCGTCCACGTTGCTGGTGTAAAGATACCTCGGCGACTCGGCTGCTGTGCTTCTTGGCTGAAAAGAATGGGATTGCTAAGACGTTGAAAGTGGACGAAGAGTTACGGAACTCTGAAAATGCTCTGCGTCACGATTGCTTCAAGATGAGTCACATCTGCTGTGCGTCCGTTGCCGGAGTTCTGTCTCTTTTTGCGGTGGAAGTGGTGAAAGTGTGAGGTCGGGCACCTTTTGGTCTTGCGGAGCGCTACTGGAGGATGGTAGAGGATAATGACGTGCTCAAAAAAGACTAGATCGTTTTCACAGCGGTACGCGCGTACCAGCGCTATGGGTCATCTTTGAGAGTTCCTAGATATATATAACTCTTTCAGAAACCTCTAAAACAATGTAAAACCATGTTCAGATGAAATTGTTTAACGCTGGCCAGAATTGCGATTCCTTGCCCGCCCGCAATGGGTGTTGGTGCTGCCAACAAGTCCCAGAAGACTGTGAAACACAAAGCCACCAACAAACCAAGATGGTCCTGACGCCAAAGAAACCACTGTCACTAATTATCTATGTTCTCAATGGATATGATGGATGGTCAAGATGAGTTCTTCTCCAAAGGGACCATGGAATTGTGATAAGGTGAGCGTACCCATGTCCATCTGCGGAATTAAGATCATCCCGAATCCTGAGATATCCTGAATATGAGGATTGGTCGGCAAAAACCTATGGTTTCGGTGAGCCTCCCTGGTTTCAAACGTAGAGGGGAAGGAGTCCAAACATGACACCAGAGATTTGGTCCATCATACAATACCATGGGGCCTTGCAACATTCTATGTACACAAAGCGAGAGAGAGAGAGAGAGTCACAAAGCTTCTGCTCCTTCAACCTCCAAAGACACACTCGGCCCATATCTGCTCGTTCTCGCAGTAGGCCTTCCAGAACTTGGAAGCCTTCGTGCGGCACTTGAGCACGATACTTCAGCAAGCTGCTGAGCCAAAAGTTCTGGAAGCGCTCAGTGTCCTGATCAGAAGGACTGGAGGGCGTCCGGCACAAAACATCCGCCCAAAACGAATAGAAAGGTTCTACAGTAGTCAAAAAAGCTCTAATTCAACGCAAGCACGTTCACTCTGGAGCAATGTGGTTTCAGACGCAAGGTCTGGAAGTTGAACATGTTCACATTCTCTCATCTTGGCGTTCAAACTTTGTGCAACTTGGGTGGCTGACGATCCCTCACAGTCAGTCGTGAACGCGCACGCCGTCTTTTGCACCTGTCTCCTTATGCGATCAAAATTCAACCTCTACGGGCGTTCTGAGCCGCATGCAAACAGTGAAGAGAAGCAGTTAAAGAGTTGAATGGGAAGATGGAGGGAAGCTTCCCGTAGGAAGATCCCAAGCCTTATGTTTGGTTCATGTTCTGGTTTTGGCACTTTCCACTCCTTACGATCCACGACATGTCCTCAGGAACTAATGACGTCTTGGAGTTGTCACCCTCACTGGAGCAATTGGCCGCATCAAAGGTCACTTCTCCATGGTCAAAGCAGGCATTGCGCTTCCAGGTGAACAGGGAGTGGCTGGCATTCATGATCCTGGCTTTGAGAAGCTTCAGTCGGAACAAGTATGGCGTATGGCAAGCAAACACTTGCGGCTGACATGTTCAGCAAAACCTACAGAGTCAAGAGTTAAGCAGCAAAAACTCACAAAAGAAAAAGCGTTACACGATGACATCAAGGAAATCGCTGAGAATCTCCAACTCTCCGATGCCAAAGGCGCCCTGCCGAAACGCCGACCATGAATCAAAGGCGTTCACAAATGGCAACCAATGTGAGTATGGCCCTTCACGATTGCCTCAGATAGCGAGGAAGATTGCTTGACGAACCTTTTGCTTCCGTCCGATTCTGTTCCCCCAAAGAACATATTGTTTGAACCCTGAGTAGGCTTGTGCTGTGGTGTCAACCAAGAAAACATAAGAAATCCCCTGATACCCCCCTCCTGCTTTCTTAGTGTGTGCTCTCAGGCACCTCCATCCCCGATGTTGATGTAAACAGGACCGCAGCTGCTGGTCTTGTTCTTGTAGACAGGCCAGGTTCTCTCAAAGGAATGGACGTGCCCCGCGAGGACAATGTTCACGCCATGCTGGAAGAAGAGCACCTGGTTTCAAGCTGAGCCATTGAGTATCTGGAGTACTTCTGGAGCCGGGACATCTTACAACAGTGCCCCTTTGGGTTGCACCGGCATCATTTGGGGGTCAGATACAAAATCTCTGACCACTGGAGTCAAAGGGGACTTGGCTGTGGAATTGTGGAACTGTCCCAGTTTGGTCACCCAGAGCCTCCATGTTCTCCAGCATGACTTTGGCCTCACCTGGGCGTCATGGTCGCATCCGTTGACATTACAAAATAATGTTTGTTAGCAAAATGATTAGTAAATAAAACTTACTTGAGAGGCGGGGAACGAAAGCGATGACAAGGACGAATGTGAGAACACCTTTAAAAATCCCCTGGGGATGAAGTTTGTGATGTCGTAACCGCTTGGGGGGGTCCTATTGATTCACTTCACACGAAGTGGGGGGGCGTTGGTAGTGATGTTTCAATTGATCCCTTCGATTTTGACCCATCTAATAGTAAACTGAAACTTCAGCTGACCTCCTTCGGAGATCGCTTTCGTGATAGCACAAATGTTCAAACAATAATGATAAGACATGCATATGATATAAATTATATGCACAAACAAAACATGCAAAGATCGACTCTTGTAAATTCTTGTAATTTGTGTTACATGCCTGCATCTCCCTTCCTGCCAATTGAACATAACAAAGCTGTGGATATCCCAACTCCTGGTCATGGTCTATCCCTCCCAAGCACCAGCTAGCTATTGTTTCAGCTACAATTGGATCTGAGATTGGATATCCCACTGATTTTTCCCGTGCCCTGGTACCATCATTTACACCGTGAACGTCGTTGGGCATTAAACCGGCCTTCACAGCAAACACATGGGCCTATCTGAAGATGGTTCAACAATCTCCTTTGTTGGCGTCCCTACTCGCGATAGAGCACAAACACGAAGCAAAGGTTGCATGTTTAACAGCTTTCTTCTGGGTCCTTTCCCGTCACTGACCAAGATCCACAAAGTGGTGTGCAATTCCATCATCCTTCCCTTGCAGTCTGACCTGGGTCCAACTGACCAGCACTAAGTCCACCAAGTGGCCATAGTGTCCAAGGTTCGAGTTGTACCAGGGAGCATGCATCATGACCACCAGCCAGGGAGTCTTCTCGCGATTAAAGTCCTTGAAGTCTCCTGACTTGGCCGTCAAATTGATGAATCTTTTGGGAGTCTGTTCACTTGGACCCCTGAAAAACGGGTCACCTGCGCCTGTAGAAGACGCGGCTTCTTTAGAAAAACGTGGTTTTCGGGCCCATGCAAGTCTCCCAATGAAACACCAGATGAAGGGAAGTCGCCCATGGTGGACCTTGAGCGCCCATGTGGACCTGTTCTAGATAATTTTTTTTGTTCTAGATAGTTTTGTTGATGTTTCTTTAGTTTCTTCATGTCATGTCTCAGCTCAGTCTCTTTCCAACCACGTGTATTGAAAGCTCCCCGGTTTGGATGACGCATAGCTGTTTAGCGACACCACATGCATCGGGCCGATGTCGCGGCTCCAGAAGTTGGGATCCTCAGAAGATCGGCGGCATCCACCGAATAGGCCGAAGAAAACGGTGATGGCTCGACATATGATATATATACACTACACGTTGGGCCTATCCGATTATATACTTGCAAAAATGGATGATGATGATGATGATGATGATGATGATGATGATGAGGAGGAGGAGGAGGAGGGTGATGATGGTTGGTAAGGGCCTTGCTCAAAAACAGTGACAGTTGTTTACTGACTGTTACAGGTTGTACGAAAAACCCACGCCACGAGGCGACTCGCTAACATGGAAGTGGAAAGAAAAAGCTGGTTGGAGAGGACATGGTCATCCAAGGGGCCAGTCTCCACGTGGATGTTAGTGAGTCGGAGTGTACCTTCCTCTTCATGAGGGTCTCTCCCAAAAATGGACTCTTCAAAGTTTCAAGAGGGAGATGTCACGAAAAGTCGACTTTAGACCACCAAAACACGACATTCCCTTGTGCCTGCCATGAAAAGTGATCACCAAGTGCGAAAATGTGCACAGCACCACAACAAGAGCACAGTCTTGAAGAGCCCAAGCCCAGCGCAGTCGAAATGCACTTCGAAGATTTCGAGGTCAATGTACTGTAAATAGATGTAAATAGCAGCGAATTAGCCGCACTCGGATGCGAGCACCTTGATCAGACACCCGTCCTTAACAGCTACCGTAAGAACTCCATCCGTGTGAACACAGTGTTTGGGGAAAAAAACATCCGGTCCATGGGTCTGTGACCTTCCTGGCTGGATGACACATAACACATACACATATATATATATATTTATATTACATCATATATTATATATATACACACCCCTTCTTGTTGCATTTGTTTAAGGGTGAAGAATAAATGCAAAAATATGTAATTATTATAGGTTATAGGTCATCATAAAGAAGCATCCAACAATGTTCTGCATTCTGCATGTCCCTTTCTTGCACGCCGCCGACGACCCTGCTGTGTCGGTTCTTCTTTGTCTTTCTTTTCCCTGAAAACCTCCGCAACACCATGAGGTCCCTGCTGCAAAGGAGCCGTTGAGCCTGACTGTGTGAATGGCATCGGATATCGAACGTTGTAGCTCTTGAAAGCCTGACAAGGCACACGGATGAGACACCAGTTCCATGGAAAGAGACTCTCCGAAAGAGCTCCACCCAACGGTTTGTCATGCTTTGCCTTTTCCAGAAGAATCCCCCCATGTCCGACAAAAGAACGATGCTTGTGTTGCTGCCCTAGGTAATTCGGTCAGGCCAGCAAAAGTTAGCCACTCAAAGAATAATATGTGAATCATATCAGTATGTATAAATATATATATATAAATCAGTATATCAAACCGTGGGAAGTGGTTGAAACATGTTGGAACCAGCAGGTGCCTCCATCGGTTGCAGCAGCTTTGTCTCCAGTTAAAACATGTTAACAGATGTCAAGAGAATCAGACCAAAACATCGTGGTTGGATGATCGTGGATGATGGATGATTGCAGTTCTGCCACACAGCATTAGCAGGGCATGAACGGCTGGGAAAGTGCCCGCAAGTGGACGGATGCTTAATTCAAATTGTGGCTGCCTGCCTCGCAGCTCAATAGAAGAGGGAAAACCTGAAGCCATTGGTAGCCATCGGCTTGGTTTGGGGGTCCCTGGTCCCTTCAATTGTGAATCTCAAGAAACCCGCCGGGCCTGCCTCAGCAGAGCCATACTCATGGTTGCCGGGGCAAGTCATCACAGGGATTTTGGCTCCCAATGGCTCGAACATGATGCCAAAGGAGTCCCAACGTGGATAGAAGCCATCTGCATAGCTGAGATCTCCCGTGAGGAGGACCACCTCTGGCTTCAAGCCGCTCAACAAGTGCATGCTGGAGTTGGACACTGGTGTCTGTCCAATGTCGCCTGTGAGGCCTACTCGATAGGGATACTTCTGACCATCAGGTGGCATTGTGAATTCAAAGGTTCGGTCGTCATTCTCAACCTGATACATGTATGTGACCCCAGGTTGCAAAGCTGTGAGCACCACAGTGTGAATGGCTGGAGAGTCATAGCGTTCGCTCGGGTTCTTGTACCATCCCATCTTGTCGTGGTCCACCTGCTGCACTCCAATCTCACGCCAGGAAGGGTATTTCCATCCCGTGCGCGGGTCAAAGGCCCAGTCGGAGGTGCTCCTCACTGGTCATTTGAGGTCATTTGTCCCACCCTGGAGCCCGGGAGTTGGCGCAGGTTGCAACGCGTTTTTGTGTTTCACATGAGTTTTCCAAGTGGACACATAAAGTGAACCAAGCACATCTAATCAAGCCAGGAGCGAATTTGGCGAAGCAAAATAGAACCGTCTTGCAAAGGGTCTCAGTAACAGTTTCTTTTCTTTCAACAGCCAAGATTCATGTCTTTGGCCACTATTTCTTGTTCCAGCCCATAGCCACCTCGGATAGGGGGCTCCCACAGATCTGCTCTCCAGAACATGAGTTGGGAGTAGGTCTCGGTCTTTCCAAGTGCTTCAAGGTTCAACTCCCCCTTGCCATATCGAACGCGCGACTTCGTGGAGACCTGTTGGGAGACAAAAGACACCACCATTTCTCCGGGGCCACCCAATTGTACATGGACCTGTCCACTGCAGGGTGGCTCTTGGCACTTCTTTTGTTCCGGAAATGTGGATGAATGCAAGTCCACATGGTTCTTGGGCCGCACATAGGAGCTCGTCTTGGGCTGCGCCTGTGCGGGAGCATCAGAGCGGGGAAGTACTTTCTGCGCACCGAGCTGTAGCATGCTCATCGTACAGCCAGACTCTTGGCATTCATCTTCTGCGTCCAGGTAGTCTCCAGCAGCGACAGTAAAGAAGAGAGTCCAGATAATTTTGAACATATTAGTAGGTCCCATCACAGCCGGATTTCAACTGTGGGGAGTAGTTTCTTCACAAAGGGCTATCTGACTAGTTGAGCAGAAGACAGCCGCAGAACATCTTATATACAAATGCATACAAATTCAGAAACAATTACAAGATCATCATGGGTATGCAAGAAGCTTCAACATACTCTCAAAAGTACCCTCTGGGGAACCACCTTTAAGCTGCGTTATTCCATGTTTGAATCCAATCTCAGCCTCCAAGCGCGCCACGACCCATCGCAGACCCATCGCAGCCGGACCGCCGCAGGCGCCGCGCGCTGCGCGCTCTCCTCGTACAATAGCTCTGCTCGACAGAGCTGGTCGTAGTCGGGGCCCAGGGCTTCGTAGGTCTCCAACCCAGAATCCGCACCTCACTCGACACAGAGAAGGCTGGGATGGCAAACAGAATCAGCAGATCTATGCAGATCTGCGGATGAATCAGAATCCAACAGAATCAGCAGAACCAGATCAAAGAACCAGCAGAGGATCTGGCAGACAATCAGCAGATCTGTGGCATTTCTGAAATCTTCTCTACCCAGGCGCTTAAGCCTGCTCCACTGGCCACCAACACCCAGTCCGCCTCCATCAAGGCGCGAGCTGCCCGTGCCAAGGGCGAAGAGCTTTCGTTCTCCATGGCATGTGTCGTGGATGTTTACCTTTTGAGCGCAGCGACTTTTTGCAGGTAGGCGAAGATATAATGATATGATATCAATAGACTATTATATAATATTATGTATAATTATATAATAGACTTATGCTTTTGTATTTTATATTTGTATCATAAATACCACGACTTTAAGGACTTCAAGGCTGCTTTTCGGTCCTGCTCGATTGTCCAGCACAGCTTGAGGATCGTGATCAAAAGAGTTGTTTGCCAAATCGGAAGGCTGTGATCACCTTGATCCACCGCAACCAAACAACTCTTTTGATCACCAAACAACTGGGGGAGTGTCTGGACTCGTTGCGGCCTTTTCCTCCGAAACGAACGGACTCCGTCTCCCGTCTCCCGTCTCCCAACACCGGACCGAGGACCGACGCCAACGCCGGCCGGTCGCGACGCCTGCGTTGGTTGCCGGCAGGTCCCGAACCTCAAGAGACCGCGGAAAATCCCAAATTGAACAGGTGAAGGAATCAAATGATTTTGTTTTTCCATGCTTCAATCTGATTTGATTCATCTTTGTGCGATAGAAAGGATGTCATGGAGGATGTCATGCTTTTTTGTGGCATGAAAGATGTCTATGGATGTGATGTGTTCATCCTGAATACGTACTAGCATACTTAGTACTTGAGCTCTTCATGAAGGATGATTGCTGTGTGAAGGGATTGATGAAACCCCTTCATCCTGGATCACCCAATGATGCGGAAAATCCCTTCAGCTCTTGATGAAGATTTGGATGGATCCTTTGTGATTCTACAACTAACTGCTGCCACTGGTAGCATGCGGTAGCTCAGCTGGATTTTGGGATGTCTACTTTGTGAAGTGAGGGAGAAACCATGGAAGTGTCTGTCAACCATTAAAACCACCACCATGAACTATTGTTGGTTTCATTCGACCGCTGGGGACTCTCATGGACTCTCTACCCATTGAGGGTCCCGAGATCGCGTCGCGGACGCCGCGCGACGACTTCGGTTGACCATTCAGAAAAACTGCGACGACTTCGGTTGACCATTCAGAAAAACTTGTTGGTGCTGCATGTGATCATAGGTTTAAACAAAAGGTGGATGTTGGCGCAACTGGACCTCGTGTTAAACCTGGCGGGACATTGATGTTGTACACGGTGGAGCAGCACAATGTTTTCGCAATCAAATGCAAATAGTATCTCTTCCAAGCAAACTCAGATTTGCAAGAAAGAACTGAATTCCAAGAAAGAACTGAAATCCAAAAACCCAACCAGACCCAAGAAGTATCTCTTCCAATACAAACGGGGTGGTTGGAAAAGGTTGGAAAGCGGTGTGCCCGGAGGCTCAACAAAAGCATACAAAAGCAACATTCATGTTGGTTCGGATCTTCCGTCTTTTATGCGGGTAAGAAGTTACTTACAGCATCCCAGACTACCTGTAACTTCCCAGACTTCCCTGTCAGGAGGTTCCAGGTTGAACAAACAAATTCCAGAGAGTCCATGCCAAACACAAATTCCAAATCCTTCAGCCTTTCATTACCGAAACCCTCAACAAAACCACTATCCAGAATCCAGATCAAATTCTTTTTGTAACCGAACCTGTTCAAATTACCGACACCACAGCTGCGAATCAAGGTCCCAGACCAAAAGCAGGACCTGTCCGCTTTCAGCCAACGAGGCGCGTTTGCGGAGCCAAGGCTTAGCCGGCCGGTCTGCTAGTACCTCTGAGTTCTTTCTGGTACAATCTGGAACCAAGGGTTCACCTTCAAGATGATGCCGAGCCCGACTCCATCCATGCACGAACCCATGCCATGTCGACCAAACGATGCGACATGGCCAATCCGAGAACGATCCTGTCGGATGCTCCAAGAACAGCAGGAACAAAATACGTCGGTTCGTCGGGTCGCTCGTATGGTATCCTTCGTTGTTTTCGCTTGTGATCACAAACGCTGGGTGTGAGTCTTCTTAGCCTTAGCCATCTAACGACATTGTGTTTGAATTGTTAAGAACACGAGAATCACGACAGTTTCTTAGTCTGGGAGGAAGAAAGACCTTGAGTCTCCCTGGAAGAAACGCCCCGGTGCACCGAGCATGCTGATCCGATCCCCCAACCACTTCACCACACAGTACTCAGGAACTTGAAAGGAAATGACCATCTGGTACACCTGGTCTCAAAGGAGGGAGACATCTCATATTGCGTTATGCTTTAAAAAAATGCTTTGCAGTACAAACCTCCGCCGTCGTTAAGCTCTTCAGCTCTTCAACTAGCGGAAGACACCACGGAACGCAAGCTTACGCGACCTGATCGCGGTCTCGGCTCCGGAAGGGGCGAAGGGAACCACAGCGGTCACTGCCCTGTGGCCCGGAGACGGCTTCCTCCTCCGAATCTCCATGGCCCGGAGACATGTGTCAACAAAAAGCTCTCGATTCTCAACAGGCAAAACGGACAAAACACATGTTCCATCATCTTCCGCTGTTCTTGGCTTTAATGTTTGTTGCATCCCAACTCCTGCTTCCACCAACTCCGCACTCCCGTGACCCGCCCCATACCACGCGCCTGATTCTGGGGCAACGGCCAGGTCGACTCGATCACTAACGAGGACGAAGTGACCTGCAAAGGTCCCCCCTGTTCGCCGCTCAGCTGAAGACCCACTCAGTTGGGTTGGAGGTGGTTTTGGGCACCGGCACCATCCACTGTTGCGGGTACCTCCAACTGCTGGCGCCCTTCTCTGTGCCTAAAACTCATCTTCTTTGTCATTCTTCACCAATTATTGAATTACCTTAAAATGTTAGACAAGCACCAAATTTGTGATGCATACCGGGCTTGAGCGAGTTGACCTTGAATCTATTATTTAATGAAACTTTGTCGTAGTCCAGCCGATGGCCGCTGGCGCGGAACTTTGAGGCACCTGCCAGGCTTGACATGGTTTGGTTACAATCTCGTCTTCCAGAACAGCTACATCTGGATATGAAGAGCTTTGAACAACATGTCTTGCAGTGCTTGCAAGAGCATGCGAGGTCCTGCGACGGAATGACTTCACAAGCTCACAAAGAATTAATTGTCAACTTAAAGCGATGGCCTCCAACCTAAGAGCGATAGCCTCCACCCTGGTAGCGATGGCCTCCAACCTAGAGCCCTGAAACTGTAAGACCTTTTTGCCAATCCTCAGGACGGCGTTGCCAGAACAAGCGCCTCCAGTGCCGCTGCTAGCTGTTCCTGCCAGCATGGAGCAAGTGGCAGTAAACTGCTACTCACTTCTTGTACTCTCAGAACTACTTCTCTCTGAAAAACTGCACTATAATTCCACTGCAAAGGATGCTAGCACTGTCGCTGCACCTATTCTTCCTAGTTCTGCACCTGCTCCTACTCAGACTCCTCTTCCTGATCCAGCTGCTGCTCAGCCCACAATAAACATGTTTTAGAGGGTTTTGCATGGCTCTCGAACGGCCTACAACTCCTACGAGGCGAGTCTCCTCAGTTTCTGGGATCCACATCTGCAGACCCATCTCCTCGAACGGTTTTTGAGGTTCTGGATGGTTCTGGGTAGCTGCTGTGAGAGTATTCATGAGGTCTGAATTAAAGTCATTCTGCGATACAGACCCAATCCTGAAAAAGCCAGTGATGCTAGCTAAGCTGCATTGCACTGTTAGCATCCATTAGTCTATTGGCGCTGTTCGTTTGTGATGTTTGCTCCTTCAGACTTGGTCTTTTGGGCTGCGCACGACCCCAACAAACAGATTCACCCCTGAAACCGTTCTTCCCTTCATGAGACAATGGATGCATGTGTGGTGAAAAAAAGAAACAGGACATGAAACAGTGATTCTGTTGCTATGTGTTGCTTGTTGTTTGTGTCCTGCCATTTGATCTGACTCAATTCATAGCTCTTCCGAATGGCCATCTCGTGAGCCGCGCTCTCAGGCGGCCCGTCCACCGGCTCCGCCACACGACCCGGTTCGCCTGTCGGAGCGAAGTGCGTGCAAGAGCCCGGCACGCCTGCGGTGCAGAAATGCCACGAAAAGAAAACAAAAACAGTGGCAATTGTCAGGTTCTTCAGTTTCTTATGTTGAAAAGCTCGTTTTCTTGATGGTTCTGGACACAGTTTCTTGAGTTTGTGACCTTTTTGGAGCCCCTGTTTGTGACCTTTTACAGGTCCAAGTGACTTCACCAGGCGATCAAGGTGCAGTCACTTTGAAGAACTAGGTTTACCAACTCCAGATAGGCGAAGAGTTCAATACATGCATATCATTCCTGCGGGCCTGTGGACATTTGTGCGCCACAGGAAATGAGGAAAGGCATCGAATATCGAATGCTTTGAAAGCTTTGAAAGGTTCATCATCACTTAGTAAGAGGCTTAAAAACACAAGCAAGCCCGGCGATTGAAACACAAGCAAGCCCTGCGTTTGAAACACAAGCAAGCCCGGCGTTTGAGCTTGTGCAACCAAAAGTTGTCCGTGCTCATGTCCATGCTCGTTCTTGCAAAGAGCGTTCGTGCTTTCCAGTGCGGGTTTCATGATTTGGCCCCTACGTGCAAGGTTTCTAGGCTGACCTGTACTTCCTCACAAGGAAAACAGTTTTTGAATGTATATACATATAAATATATAAATGATATATGATCACTTAGGATACACAGCGGACAACGCTGGGTTCCAAGCCAAAGACCGAGTCCATGAATTGTTCAGACTTGTTCCTTCAACAGTGTGAGCTGTTCCTTCGGCATCCGGAACTTCTTGGCCACCCTCCCTGGGCCTCAGTCTCACCTGACAGGAACAATCAAGACGGTGCCAAGGGAGGACCGTCTTGCAACCGAATGGTGTGGCCGAACATGGGAAGACCCCACCAAGAAAACGATACCACAAGCCTGTAATGCTTATTGGCCAGGAAATCAAGGAGGACACTGAGGGGACACTGAAGGCCATGTTTGGGTGCCCCGGACAGTCCCCCAGCATCGCACTAAGCTCTGCGGATGTGACCCATCTGCCCTACCCGAACTAAGAATCTGGTCTAGACAATGGG